AACTAAATGACATTTACAGATTTCTAAAACAGATTTTGGGGCCAAGTCCTCACAAAGTAACTTGCATTTTTAAAATAAAACTTAATATGAAAATTCTTACTTCAAAACACATTGTTTCCCTAAGAATGAATCCTAGTGCAGTGAAAAAACACCTGTGAATATTATTATTATAGAAATAACCTTAAAATTATATAATAAAGACAGATAGGTATGTTGAACAATTTAAAACAAATATATAGAGTGAATAAGCAGTGATTTCACTGAAACACAGGCAACTGTACCCCCCCCCCCAGGAAATAACAGCACACAAACGAGGGGAACAAAGGAGCAAAAGATGGCACAGGTGATGACATCATTACGTAACATTATTTGCATCAGACATCATGATACAAGTATGGAATTGTGGGGTTTGAGAAATGACATCATCATGCACATGACATCATTTTGATATCCTGGGTGCAGGCAGGAAAAAGGGGACGAACCGTTGTGCTATATCAAATCTTTGCCACTACGAACCCAAACCCATGAACCAATACTATTAAGGCTTGACCTCCAGGGTAAAATAACTGATTTATTCTTACAAGTCTTGAAATCAATTACTTAGATTAAGGGAAAAGAAAAGAGGGGAGGTTTGAAACCCGAGATGGATTAAAGAGGCACTTCACATTTAATTCATGATAACTAAATCTAAGATAGCCATCACCTTCTGGGTATTTTGAAGAAATATGGATCTTCAATAGCTTTCATTCACCTGCTGGTTAAGGCAGCCATAGGTATGACCAACAAGCCCTCTTCTTTGATACAATTTTCTAGCAATGGTGAAAAAAATGATTTCTCTCCTTGAATCCATCAAGGTGGCCTTCAGGATGACTCCTACAAAGAGACTTGATTTAGGAAGCTTTTCAAGCACATATGCAGTTGAGGTCATCCCAACCAACTTCTTCTCCGGTCTCTTTCTTCTTCTTCCTTTAGCCAGCCTTTGAGAAAGATAAATCATTCTGCAATGCCAGGAAAATGAATTTTGCCACGGTGGAATCTTTTTGAGTCGGTCATGGCTCCTGGTAAATACATAGATAGGTTTCTGCAGTTTTCTTGGAAAGATTTTGGAAGTGGCTTACTCTTCCCTTTTTTCTAGGGCTGAGAGAAAGTGACTGGCTCAAAGTCACCCAGCTGGCTTCTATACCTAAGTTTTGACTAGAACTCAGGTTTCCCCACCCTTAGTCCAACACCTTAACTGCTATACCAAACTAGCTCTTATTTTATCATTGGGATATGAAAGCTCACACAATAGAATGCTACACAAAGCAGGTTGGTATAATTGTGAGACATGTGTCATTTGTCAGTGACTCTCTTAACCTAGAGCCTTTGGCCTGGGGCAGACAATAACTGCATAATGAAGAGACCCTTTGCAAAGCATCCTGACAGGAAATGGGTTTCTTAAGACAGCACTATCTGCTGGTATGTAAAAGCACTGTTGCTGAGTATGAATGTGCTCACAGGGGTCCCCAACCCCTGGTCCATGGACTGGCACCGGTCCGCAGCATGCCAGAAACCGGTCTGCACCAACAAGTGAAGTCCCATCCACGGGATGCAGGCAGCATGTGAAACCACACCCCCTCCAGTCCGCGGAAAAACCTCTCTCCAGGGAACTGGTGCCCAAAAGGTTGGGGGCCTTTAATTTATATGAATGGATACTAGCCCCTGAGGAAGGCCCAGGAAATTATCTCTCTTGCCATGGATAATTGCCATTCTGGCTAATACTTTACGGCTTCAAAGAATATCAGAATAGCTTCTTCCCAGATGAGCTAGCTTAAGACTATTCAGATTGTTCTGCTCGGAGCCTTTGCATCTTCAGACACCCTCATCATGTGCAAGATTTGTGGGGCACCATTGCTGTTTATCTTTCAAGGGCAATTAGAATTATCCCCTCTTGGGATTGGATAAGCTTTTCAAGACGCAGCCTTTTCAGAGGGTAATTGAGGTGCCTGCCTTTAAATCAGGGCCACTAATGTTTTAGATTGCTGTTCTGTTTATTCATTATCAGTAGTAATACTGATATATGTAAGTTGGGTTTATTAAAATTAAGAATATGATACAATCTGCCTCTTTCCCATTCATTTTACTAGAAAATCCAGCACCGAGAGAGTACAAAGACTGTTAAGGTAGATTTCTGTTTTCTTCCTTCTCTTCTTCCTTCTTTATTTGAGTACTGTAATATAATAATTCTATACTGATCGAAATTAGATATTTATATTTCCGGTCTATCCCATCTGCTGGCACATTTACAAGTTGTCACCTGTACCCTCGTTGCATCTTTGATGTCTGTGATTAATAAGTGAAGCAAATACAAATATATTCAAAACACCATTATGTATGCAGCATAACACTGAGTTGCTTCCTGTTTATGAAATTAATGCACTGTCAGTTAAGCTATCGTTTAAGATCAGAGTTCCTTCCACAGTTAACATAAATAAAACTCAAGATGATGCATATATACGCTAAAATTTCATTTCAACTTATTTGTGGATAGGAAGTGTAAAATTAAGATCTAAATTAGATTCACAGTTAGTCATACTAAAGTGTAAATTCATTTAAGTAATGAAACAATTTAGTCACTTACTGTACTCAAATTCCAGTTTTGCACTGCTATGCTACTATCTCCAAGGCTGCCTTTGATCCTCCCATAGTGTCCGTGGCTCATTGAAGAAGGCATCTGGCCAGTGTATGGGTCCCCAAAAAGGGGAGCCAGGCAACCCACCTTCCCATCCTCACCTGCATTCTTCCTTTGTTGGCCCTCCTTTCTGCTGTCCAAAATTGAGCTCATTGAGGAAATGAATTGAATCCTGAATATATGCTGTCATAGTCCGATGTAATGCTATAAATCTACAGCTACGTATTTGGCTATATTATATGTAGAACAGCAATGGCGCTCAAAATTGGATGCAGTGGCATAAACTCTTTTTGAATCTTTGGTAACCCTTACAAACATGGTGGCAGGGCTTTTTTGTCCAGCAAAGACTGTTGAACACTTCAGGTAAGATTGACGATGTGTTGATGAGGTGATTAGTTTTCCGTAGTATTTTGGTTGTCACACCACATTACTTGCATGTTGTAGTAGCTAAGAGGTTCTGGCTCTTCTTCTGATAGTCTTATGTCTTAATAATAATTTTAATCTTTCCTTTGTCTGCTGGCAGAATAATAAAGTTCTTTTTCACACTTATTTATTTATTTAGGACAGACCCTGCATGTTTGATGCTGTGTGACAGAACCAAACATCTTCCTTAATCAGAGGGCGCTGAGCAATTAATTCATACAGGAAGTCCTCTACTTATTAACACAATTGGTACCAGAATTATCATTCCTAAGCAATGCAGTCGTAAAGTGTGACCGCATCACTTGGCAATAGCAATTTCAGCATTCTTCATAGCTGAGGACCCACCCCAGTCTAAATTATTCCAGGTTTGGTCATTCCCAGTGTTGAAGGTACTGCCTCCTCTTCAACTCCCCCCTCTGCCCTTTTGGCTACCTGGCATGCTGTCTTGTGGGAAGGCAAGCAGCCGAGAACCACACAACTCTGCAGTTGTTTGCCACGCTGTGGCTCGGGGGCCTCTTGGTGCACCATCCCAGCAGCACAGTAAGAAGTTGCACCGTTTCAGAGACTCCAGCAGTGCACTGCAAAACTCCAGCTCAGCAGCATGGTGCAAAGCCCCAGCCACTCCAGTAGCATGGTGCAAAGTTCCAGCCCAGCAGTGCAAGGTGAAGTCACAGCTGTCCCAGAAAGCTCCAACAGCAGTGTGAAGTCACAGCTGTCCCAGTGTGAAGTCACAGTCCAGCTGCATGGCACAAAGTCCCAGCAGCCCTCCCTGCCCTACACTCCACCTGACCTTCACCATCTTCTTGTCCCCACTGCTGATGAGGTGTGCCTATCCTGTTCCTTTGTGAAGGAACTGCTGGCCACATGGCACCATCTGTCTCATGAAGGGCCAGGTCAGATATGCTTGGTCAGCAGTGGGAGTAGGAAGATGGCAAAATTCAGCTGGGGTGGCAGGGCACGCTGGGTGCAAGGGGCCTAGATGGGAGGGGGAGATCGGCAAGTGTGGGGAGTGGAAATGTCCCTGTGATCATAAGAGCGGGTGGGCTGCCAATCAACTGAATTTTGATCATGTGATCATGGGGTTGCTGCAATATCAAGGACCATTTGTCAATTTCTTTCTTCAGCACTACTGTAACTTCAAACGGTCAGAGAAAATGGTCATAAATCAGGACTACCTTTAATCCCTGTGTATAGTTTGAGGTCTACTGACCCTTTCCTTTCTAATAATGTAAAACAATGTTAAAGAAAAGGGAGAGATTGAGTTCTACGACACCTAGTTACAACCTATATTGGGTAGAACCCTGTTTCCATCCATCTGCCAGTTAGCACCTGTAAGCTTCCATCCATCTGCCAGTTAGCACATTATCCTTTAGTCTGTGCCTCAGATCCATCTTCTGGCACCACAATTTGCAGTTCAGTCCCTGTAAACCGGGATGATGCAAAAACTCTGATGATGGTTTCAGAAGATCCACGGATCAGATTGATCCAGATTCACGGTGCATCTGTGTTTTTATTCATTCATTTATTTATTTATTTAGAGAATTTATATGGCCACCCACTCACTTTCAGTCACTCTAGGCAGTTTAGAAAAAAAAAGGCTCCCCAGAGACATCCGGATCCTATCCTAACCTACTCAGAAGCAAGCCCTTCCCACGTTCAGCGCTTCTGCCGCTCACCCTTCCTCTTTTTTGCCCACTCCTGTTTTGCAGCCATCTTGTAGTCCGGATTTTTTTTTGCAGCCCAGACTACAAAAAATCTGCCTCTATTGAAACCTCAAAGCGAACGCGATCGTGAAAAGATGTCACCAACGCTACGGGCTTCGATTCCTTCCTTCTCCTATTAATCGTCCTTTTTTTTTTTTTTTTTTTACCCCCCGGAACCTCCGCTGCTGCTCCTCCGTTCCTAGTCGGAACGAAAACCTACTGGCCCTAACATGGCGGCGCCCGTGAGCGCGCGCTGCAAGGTTCTTGCGAACGCCGAGCCCCCGGTTCTGCCAGGCGGGGCGGCGCCGTACGGAAATTTCCCCAACTACTCCTGCTTCCATCCGCCCGAGGGACGCGTCTGCCTCTTACCTGCGACTCTTTTGAGTGAGCTGTTCCCAAGCCCCCCTGCGGGTCCCATTTTGGGCCTGGATGTTGGATGCAACTCGGGGGTAAGAAAGAGAAGGGAGCGGGAGGGGGAGGTCTCAGCATCTTTGCATACTGCAGCTGCTTCCCCGTTTGTTTCCTCTTGCTTGCAAATAGGCATTCAGCTCTTCCGTACGTAATCAATTATTTCATATTACTCCAGTCATTATTGATCTTGGTATCAATCTCCCAAAGTCCAGAGAACCCAACTGCAAAGCATATCTGGCCAATCCAGGCTATCAATATCAAAGCATTTTTTGTAGATCAGGTTTTCCCATCCTGGTATGTTCCAGATGTGTTGAACTGGCTCAACAATTCCCCAGCATTAATTGGCAAAAGTGAGGGATGATTTGACATTATAGTTCAGCCACATTTATAAGCCCATAGATGGCTCACTTCAAGAAACCCTTAAGAAATAAGATGCTTATATAGACAGTTGGATTTAGACTTATATAGGCAGGTGCTTATATAGACAGTTGAATTTCCTTTATGGGGTTAGCCAGTTAGCCAGGATGAATTCGGCCAGTGTCCTATTGAATCTGAGTTGCTGAAGTCATGAACTATGCTTTGACTGAACTTCGTTTAGGAACATAGAGGGGAAATTACAGTTAGTCTAGGGGTGGGTAACTAGGGAAATGTTAGAGCAAAAATTGAGAGACTTTTCTCTTTTCTCTCTTCAGGAACTTGGCGTTGCCCTCTATAGGCACCTCCTTGGCTTTGACCATACCAACCCAGAGCATTCCCTGGATGAAAAGGACTTCCGCCTCCTCTGCTGTGACATTGACGCAGACCTGATTGAGAGAGCCAAACAACACAGCCCTTTCCCTGGTTCCATTTCCTACACCACTCTCGATATCATGGACCCCAGTGCAAGAGAGACCCTGCTGAGCTCCTACTTGAACAAATTTGGCCGCTGTTGGTTTGATATTTGCTTCTGCATGTCTATAACTATGTGGATCCATCTGAATCATGGGGACAGTGGTCTGGTGAAATTCTTATCTTGCCTTGCGACTAAATGTACATATTTACTCCTTGAACCCCAGCCGTGGAAGTGCTACCGTGCAGCTGCTCGGCGCCTGAGGAAGTTGGGCCGGAATGACTTTGACCATTTCCATTCGCTCACCATCAAAGGGAACATGGCTGAGAAGATAACTCAGATCTTGACGAGAGACTGTGCCATGGAGTTTGTGTGCTGCTTTGGAAGCACTAGCTGGGACAGGAGCCTCTTGCTGTTTAAATCGAAAGAGAAAAACATGTGGGATAATTCAGGATTTGTATATTCTTGTTGAAGAAGTGCAATGGCTCAATGATGGTGTTATTGATGGCGTTATGGCTTGTTGAAGGGGTGTGATGGTAACAGAGTTTCGTGTACCTTTGGCATTTAGCCATGCTGGCCATATGACCACAGAAAATGTATTTGGACAACGCTGGCTCCCTCGGCTAAGAAACGGAGATGAACACTGCGCTCTAGATTTGGACACAACTGGACAGGAAAACCTTTAACCTACATTCTTGCATTTAGTCAAAGGGAAAGTGGCAGGTTATTGGGACAACTTACTCTTTTGCCATGCTGTGATTGAACTGTAAGAATAACATGGGATTTTGGAAGTCATGCATTTTTATATCAGAAATTATTTTCCAAATATCAAATACACATTGACAGAAAAATAGATATGCTGAGTTTCTGCATCTCACAAGTTTAACGATTCTTTTCTCATCACAGAAATTTGATTTCTTTTACTTCTGAAATAAAGCCCGATATCATTTTTGCCTTTTTCTTTTAGCTCTGTACCGGCTCTGTATTTTGTTTCTTGATACCATTTATATTGTGACAATATAAATGGCAATGCTTTTTAGGGAGGACCATTGAGGCATACTTTTTCCTTGAAAAATGTTTTGCTTCTCATCCAAGAAGCTTCTGGAGGTGAGTCGTTCGTTCCACTGATTAATTGTTCTGTCATAAAATTTCTCCTTGATTAGTTTCCATCCATTGATTCTTGTCCTGCCCTCAGGTGCTTTGGAGAACAGGTTGACCCCCCCTTGGAACACTGCTATCATGTCACCCCTAGCGCTTCTTTTCATTAAATTAGACATGCCCAATTCCTGCAACTGTATGTGATGTCTTGCTTAACAATCACAAGTGAACAGTTTAATAACAACAGGTTGTAAGTCCATCGTAGTCATGTAATATTTCATTTAATAACCATGTTGCTTGGCAATAGAATTGCCAGCCCTGATTGAGAACTACTTGTGTTTGCATGTATTGAAGGCACTCTTCTGTTATTTAGTTATGTTTTAATTGTTTCATAGTTTTTAAAGTTTTATTTTTAATTGTTCTATTTTTATTCTATGCCACCCTGAGTTACATTCATAAGATGGGTAGCTATATCAGTTTGATAAATAACTAAATAACTTTAAATATACATATAAAACAGATCAAAAGAATAAACTAAGAGCTTTATTATTTGGCTGACATAAAAAATCTACGGTAACACCACCACTGTGCCCATTAATTCTGTTTTTACTTACATATTCCCCCAGGCAGAACTGGCACATAATTTGGGGCCTCTTGGACTCACAAATCCTGCTTGAGCTGGTGGCAGCTGTGGTCAACTCCATCTAATGCATCAGGTGCACAATTTTTGGGATTGGGAGGCTCTGCTCACAATTACTTGCTGGACTATTGCAATGTGCTCTACATGGGGCTGCCCTTTGAAGGTCACCTAGAGTTCTAGTTGGTCCAGAATGCAGTACTATGGGTAGTTATAGGCCTACAACTGTATGCCTGTTTAACACTATTACTGCAAGAGCTACATTGGCTTCTTATCAGCTTCCGAGTGCAATTCACTTCACTGGTTATCACCTATGAAGTCTTTGATGGCACAGAATTATTAGCAGGACTGCTAATCTCCGATTATGCCTGCCTGTCCAACAGAATCCAACGGAGTAGACATACTTCAGGTCTTTCCATGAATCAAAGCCATATAGCGGGATACAGGAGGCATGCCTTCTCTGTCACTGTACCTGTGTCCTTTGGAACAGTAATCTCTGCCATTGCCCTCACTCCATCCAGATCTGAATGGCCCTGATGCTATGGGCTTTCCGTAATGCTTTAAAAGCTTGGCTTTCCCCATGAGCACCGGATTAGACTCTTGTATCAACTCATCTAGAAAATAGTTTATAGAGTTCTGAACTTACTGTACTCTATCCTGAGCCTTGATTTACGCTGTGTGGTTGTGGTTTGTGTTTGTTGGTAGGTTAGTTTGATTTGTTTTTAATCCTTTGTTCACCAACCAGAGAGGCATTTGTGAGTGGTGGCCGTGCAAAGAGCTTACATAAATAAATCTGCAAGCACTCTGTAAATAGTGACAGAAGGGTAATCCAATAGCTACAAGTTACTCAAATGCTTCTAAAAAAAACCCCTAAAAGTCTGATAGCACTTTTTCCAATCTGCTTGGATCAAGGAGACTTTAAATTATCCACACCTATCAGGTGGCAACAGCCTTGTACATTCGTTCAGAGCAATATCAATCACTGTTCTGTTAAATCTTGAATTGAATCAATTACCAAGTTTGTTAGAATTTTTAGTTTTTATTGAGTCACAGAACTGTATCCTATATTGACACTTTCATTATGGAGGTTGCAGTGCATTTGGTTCCCCACTAGGGGGCTCCCTTATAACACCTTTTCTTCAAGAATCAGAAATCCTACCAAAAGTAGAATACCTTACTTTTCTCCATTCTTACATTAATTTGTCTATTGATTTTGCAATCCGTGGATATTGCAGATAAGACTGAAGCATATTCTATATTTGAATACTTGATACTCATCAAAATGTTCCCCACTTCACTTTTTATGTTAGGTTAAACACATAACCCCACATTCCCGCACACAGACACAAAGAGATCTGTTTTGCTGCCGGGCAAACCAGGCCTCAAGGACCATCTTTATTTCTCAAAATGTGTCAGGACTTCTGATAAACAAAGTAATGATAGCATGGTTTACATAACAACTTCAGTGATTCACTTAGCAACCGTGGCAAAAAGGTTATAAAATCAGATACAACAACAACAACAACAACAACAACAACAACAACAACAACAACAACAACAACAATAATAATAATAATAATAATAATAATAATAATAATAATAATAATAATAATGTTGGAAGGGACCTTGGAGGTCATCTAATCCAACCCCCTATTCAGGCAGGAAACCCTATACCATTTCAGACAAATGGCTGTCCAATCTCTTCTTAAAAACTTCCAGTGTTGGAGCATTAACTGCTTCTGGAGGCAGGTTGTTCCACTGGTTAATTGTTCTAACTGTCAGGAAGTTTCTCCTTAGTTCTAGGTTGCTTCTCTCCTTGTTTAGTTTCCATCCGTTGCTTCTTGTCCTGCCTTCAGGTGCTTTGGAGAATAGTTTGACCCACCCTCTTTCTTTGTGGCAGCCCCTGAGATATTGGAACACTGCAATCATGTCACCCCTCGTCCTTCTCTTCATTAGACTAAACACACCCAATTCCAACAACCGTTCCTTGTATGTTTTAGCCTCTAGTCCCCCAGTCATCTCCGTTGCCCCTCTCTGCACTCTTCCCAGAATCCCATCATCCCCCTTACATCGTGGTGACCAAAAGTGGATGCAGTAGTCCCTACCAAGGCGTTATAAAGTGGCACTAACACTTCACATGATCTTGACTCTATCCCTATGCCAGTGTGACTCACTTAACAACCCCCTTGCTTAGCAGTGGAAATTCTGGTCCCAATTGTGAACATAAAATGAGGACTACCCGTGTTGCTATTTGTTCTCCATCAGTAGGATAATACTTTATGAACAGAATATGTATGCCATGCCATGCCCTACTGGAATTATACCAGTAGGATAATTCAGTGGAAGAGATGGCATCCATCTACTGATTTATGTACATAGTGACTAGACTTTGTTTTTATTTTCCCCATTTATTTCCCTGCCCCCTAAATTGCTCGACAAGGTAAAGGCATTAACCAAATTGGGGAAGGAATACAAAGAAAAGAAGAGTAAAGGCAGGACCAAAACTTTGCTGGTGTTGTTGCAGGCCCCTTTAAATACCTCCATGAGAAAGATTGTCTTGTAGCATATGAACATGCAGAATTATTTAACTTTCCAGAATGTACATAAGACATTTATAGCCATCCCTCCTGCATCTGAGATAGTAAAGTTGCGAGATAAGTCATTGTAGTATGTGCCTCACTTTCCTACTTAAATTGCCCAGCTGGTGGTAGTAGTGTACCACTGAACAACTCTCTTAAAGAAAAGGAAGAAGATATTTGCCTGGGTCATTTCTTTGGCCTTGCCACAGTTATTGTCCAATTAAATCCCAGTTCCAGTTCCCAAATAGGAGATGAAAGATGGGTAAAAGAAGCAGAAATCGAGAGCAATAATGTGGTGTGATAGTGATTGCAGTGTTTCTCAATCTTTGCAACTTCAAGATGCCTGGACTTCAACTCCCAGCTATATTGGAGATTCAGACTATCAGACTGAATGAAATCCTCCTCCTATCCTGGCATGTATTAAGTAACCATGGTTACTTACTATTTGTTTCGAAATAACACAGAATTGTGACGATATACAGGAGTGTATCTTTCCCTGAGTGTGAGATATAATAGGGACAGATAAGCCCAAAAGGCAATTTTAAGTTTCTTGGAGGGAAAGATGAGGCTATAAAAGTAATAGTGAGTACTAATAAATAATCAGACTTGTCCTCACGTCTTCAATTGAAGACTCAGTTCTGGCCATCCATTTATGATTCAGACAGAAAATATCCTGAGAAACTTTGCAGTCAAGCAGTTCAACAGGGAGAAATCCTGCATGAGGTTTTATGGAATCAGGTTAAGCATTAATTGTAGACATGACAAACAGCAAGTTTTTTGACTGCTCACCACAGCTCTTCTCTTGAGCGCACAGCTGTTACCTCCTACTCAACAAGCTGTTCTTCATGAAAGGCCGGTTTGGCAAGAGATAAAACATTCACAGACTATTACCTCAACCTTCAACTCTTGTATTGCCCAGCATGTATTGCCATAGGCTCTAGCTTTTCCAGATTTCTTTTGAACACGGCATAAGGGGAAACCGCCTGGTTCTGCGACATTGTTAGGGGCTAGTTCCATTCCAGGGAGAGGCTTGGTCCTGTTCAATAATTCTATTTTGCAAGAGCAGCCTGGTTAAGTAAAGGCAATCTCCTAAGTACCTCTTACCATAAGTAAGGGCAAATCTGTGACTCAGCTCACTTATCCCACAGGCAGCTCAGCTATGTGGCCTGACCTAAGGATGTTCAGATAAAAGCAATGGAATCTCCATTAAGAGCTCAGCTGTCCACCTTTGTGGTTATTTGGAGTAAATATTGTTTGTTCTTGCCATTCCTTTAAAGCAATTAAGCTTCGTACCACCCCACTGTGTGGAAACTAATCGTCTCTAGTTGTTGTTTTAAGAGTGGGAAAGTGCACAACCAACTATCCTTCAGAACAATTGGACATTGCAGGGTTTCTAAAGGGTTCTCCCCCATTTTTGAGCCACGAACAGTAACGAGGCCTTGTGTGAAATTGTATGTGCATCTTGCGAAGCTGAGGATATTGAGGGTAAAATCCGGAAGCGTATGCTGGAGTCGAAATGGCTTCCTTCTTTGTATTAAAATATCACTGAATGTATTGCACACTATGATGACGAGATAGTCATCAAGGTCTTAGTTGTATCACAGCCTTAATTTATTGCAACAGACAATAGTATGTAAGAGCAGGTTCCAAGCTGGGTGTTATACATGCCAGTTTTGTGAGATTATCACC